AATAACTATTTGCAACAACTTTGCAAGAAACGTTTCTTTAAAAATGTCAGACATGATAGTTTGCACCGATATTTTAAGCATATTAAAATATTACATATGATTATTTTTTTTTAAGATTTAAAGTTCATCAACGACATTTTTTTGGAATATTTGGTTATAAATACTTCTAATTATGGAAATGTTCTATCGTCATACTTCATGTTACTCAGACATATCAGGATATTTGAATTATTTAAAAAAAAATCTTTCAAATAAGAATTAATGCTTATAAATAATTCCTAAACTGTACATCACATTTATGGTATCTTGTAACAAGAAAGAATTTCAAGAATACTTTGGTATTTATTTCAACAAGTTTAATCTAAATAAATGAGACTTATTAATTTTTGTTGTATATATATGCTTTTTTGTCACTTTTTTATGACATTTTTCTGTGAACAATACTTTTATTTTTATATATTGAATTTAGCCTCACCTGTTGCAGGTTGCATTTTGTTAAATACTAGTATCATTATTTGATTATGTATACACAAATTATTTGCATGCCCTCTTTCTCATCTCAATTAGTAATATGAGCTGGTGATAGAAATGTAATGTACCATCTGTTTTTCATTTATCTCTGTGTAGTGGCAAAGACAGGAAGTATTATAAATTACACAGAGTTTGAGGCCAAATTAAGGGTAGAATATTTTTTTTATATATATTTCCATTATAACTTATAACATCAAAGATAAAAAAAAAATAAAACAATAGATAGATATTTTTTTATTATAATATATATCAAATATTCAAGATTTAGGCAATTAATATTTATTATTAGGGGCAAATTTCAAAGGGATCACACTGTCACAATACCCTAAATAACCTCAACAAATTCCAAATTTGAACTGGACATGAACATTCACACAACAAACAAAGATGTCTTCTATCATGAACAAAATATGAATTTTACAATGGATTTAGATCCAAAAGTTCCAATTAATTCTATTGACATTGGATAGTGCAGATGTAGTCTTCTGATGACATGACTCTTGAATTTAGGAAGATTGGTGCTTACACATATTTTGGATAACATCTTTTGGTAAGTACAATGGATTAGAATGTCCACCATTTTGAATAAGTACATGCTCTTATAGTTCAAAATAGTGATATTTAAAGTGTCTTCTTAACTTTATAGAGTCAAGAAAAATATTAGACAATAGATTTATGCACATGAATATTATTAAAATTGTGTAAGACAGGAGATATTTTTTTAATCTTTTTAAGACAAAATGTTTTAGAAAGTATTACTTAAATTAAAACAAGAATCTTCTAATAAAAGCAGTTTGGTATTAAATAAGAGATATATAGATTTCACCACTGCAACAAGTGTGTTACTATATTTCTCCACTCGAGACAGTTAAATTCTAATATTTAAAGCGCGAGGCTTGCCGAGCTTTTTAAATAACTTAAATTTAACTGTTGAGAGTGGAGAAATATCGTAATACACGAGTTATAGTGGTGGAATCTGTTTCTCTAATGATTTTTATCCTTCCTTTTCCAAGATTTGCGGAAAGTTGTGTACTTTAAATGTGACATCATCAGGCATGGTCACCTTTTTTCATGACATCACAATAGGATATTTCAGAAGAAACCAAGAAAATTTGACGTCATAATTAAATTTCCACCAATCATTTGACGAGAACAAGTTTTTCACTAGTGAGGAGAAATATTTTTCTCACACCGATGAAGAAATGTGAAAATAGCACAAAAATTAGAGAACTGTGGTTTGACTGCCAATAAGACTATCAACAAATGACAACAAAATATAGCTTTTATATACACAACTCAACACCAAAATTAAAATTTAAAAAAATGGACAAGACCAATTATGTTATAGATCAATGAAAAACAAATATTAAAAAATACAATAACAACCTAGTACTGGCATGAGGTTAAATGTATTCTACAGTTATATATATCAGATCCAGAAATTTGAAAAACATGCAATTTCTAGAAGGACTTGACAACTTTTAGACATTGACCCTTCAATTGAAACAAATACAGGAGAAATTTGCCCTATAGATCTTTTTATAAAGTGTTATTTTCATTTTACAAGTCAAGAATTTACAATAGTATATAGTAGTAACTTTATATCTTTATAATGTTTAGTTATTCTTTTTATATGCTAAATTCTTAAACTTTTATTTTGCAGTATTTGAAATCAGTAAATTCAACTTTAAGGACAGTGAGTACAATGGCAATCGAAACTAAAAGATACACAGATGTAACACGACAACCTATAGATGACAGAGAAAAACTTTGTTTTATTATTAAATCATATTTTTTTAAATGCTTAGTTTTCAATTCCTAATTTTTTCAACTGAAATTGTTGAAAGATTTGCTGCAATATTGCTGCAATATTGCAAGAAATTAATTTTCCTGCAATATTGCTGCAACAATTGCAGCTAATGAATTTGCCGCAATATTGCTGCAACAATCACAGCTACTGATTTTCCCGCAAACATTTGCCGCAATATTGCAGCAATTTGTTGCGGCAATGTTGCAGCAACTGTTTGCAAGAAAACTAATTTGCATACGAAAAATGAATATTTGCAGCAATATTGCCGCAAATATTTGCAGCAACATTGCCGCAAATATTTGCAAGAAGCCTTATTTTTCCATAAGGGAGACTGACCAGTGATAAAAAAATGCAATGAATGGCAGTGCAGAGGTATTGCTACGTAGCTGAGATCTCCCCGTCACATGCAGAATAAAGGCTGGCTGTCAGGGGACAGGTTGGAGGGAATATTTTTGGTAAGACAAGAACTGCTAACGAAACTGATCGAAACAAGAAGACAGCGTTATCTATCAAAATAATTTCAATAATAATTATTTTAACGGCTATGGTCTGACTGCTATCTGACTGCTAAGCTATAAAATTCTCGACGAGACACAGAAACAAAAACAAACACCCGAAAGTCGTTAAGGATCATTAAGAGAAGAACTTCTCAAACGAGCAATAAAATGCAGCTGTCGAAACAATTATAAACCAAATTATATGCTATATATTCAAATAATTTAACATTAGTGGTTCATCTTAAACTGACCTAATCACAAACTAATACATGTAAACTAAGCAGAAGTTTCAAAGTCAATAGACCATGACTGAGGGGTAAGGACCAAATATTCTCCATGGAAATGAGATGTGCTAATGCTTATACAACTGCATACCAATTATCATTGACCGACCACTAACAGTTCCCCTTAAACTGACCTAATCACAAACTAATACATGAAAACTAAGCAAATGTTTCAAAGTCAATAGACCATGAATGAGGAGGCGGGGCCAAATAATCTCCATGGAAATGAGATATGCCAATGCTTACAAACTGCATACATAATATCATTGACCTACCTTAAGTGGTTCCCCATAAACTGACCTTATCACAAACTAATATATGTTAACTAAGCAAAGTTTCAAAGTATATGGACCTTTACTTGAGGGGTGGGGCCAAATAATCTCCATGGTAATGAGATGTGCCAATGCTAATACAATGCATACCAAATATCATTGACCTACCACTAGTGGTTCACCATGAACTAGACCTAATCACAAACTAATACATTGTTGACTCCGCCGCCGCCGTCGTCACCGGAAACAGCATACCTATGTCTTGCTTTTTGACTCCGTCAAGACGAGACAAAGTCGATTAAGGTTGGAGTGTAATGACCTGCACATGCAGAATTTGAATTCACAACCTCAGTGTTGACAGGCTAGTGATACAGTAGTCAAAACTTCTTAGACCATTCTGCCACCAAGGTCCTAAACCCGAATCAAAAACTGCACTTGGCAGCCATGCAGGCCATTCATTAGGAGACATGTACCAGTACTTTTACCCTTCTGTGTAACTAATCAGTACTGCCTGAATTAAAAAAAATATTATATAAGGTATTCATAGAATATATTGAAAAGTACCTCCTACAAGTGAAAAAGTACCAGTCAACATTAAAGATAATGAAACCCCTGGCCATGTTATTTCATCCAATCAGAAATAAATGATAATTGGTAGAGTGAGTACCATCCATTCATAATTTCTACCCAGCTGTTTGGTTACAAAAGGCCAAGCAATTTCAGAAATGAAATGGAAATGTGATTTTGAATAGGGTTTGAACTTCATTGTATGAGCCACCATAATTACCACTCTATAAACCTTTAATATTTATCATTTGATCAGTATCCCCTGTTGTTTCAAAACATTTGGCCTAGTAGTTTCAGAGAAGTAGATTTTGGAAAATTAGCATATAAGATTGCTCTTGACAGCCATGTTTTTCACCTCATTAGAAAAAAAAATTATCATTATTTACCTGGTAAATTTCCAAACACTATTGTTGAAAGTAGTGGTTTAACATGGCATAGCATGTGCAGTTTCAGAGAAGATGGAAATGAAATTTTGCGTAAGGTTTCATGGGCACTAGGAGCATTAATATCACTATTGAGAGAATCTTACAGCAAATATATTTTAAATCCTATTATATCGAGTCCCTGATTCATTTTTCTTGATATCCAAACTACGATTGTCTGTAACTTTACATTGAGATGAACTTGGCCATCTGACAGGCGTCTCTAACCTGCTGTACCTTATCCACATTTACTCAAACCTTTTGTGACTAGGCTATTTGAATTTCTATTAATATTAGTACTAATACAGGTCATATATATCTGGTTTAAGAAGATTTGCATGTCATAAAGGTATAACTTGATTTTTTTTCATATATTCATGACCCATTGATTACTTACTATTTTTAGGATTGGTCAGCTATAACATTTTTGCACTAATTAATACCCATGTCGAAAATATGTCTTCCTACTTTAGACCAATAAAGGCTACTGTTTATGCTACCTGTAATGGAACTGTAGCTAATTGTAAATCAGTTCCATACTAAAGAATCAAATTTGAGAAATGGTAACAAAATACGTCACATTTTCACAATAAAAAAACAGAAAAATAAGGAAGTCGTAAATTTTGCATTTTTTATTTAAGAAAAAGTAAACAGTAAAAAGAACATGGTTATGTTTAATAAAAATGTGTAAATAGTAATATCAATAGTTCACACGTACAAACAATTAAAGCATTGCGTCTACAACCCATCCTTTAACATGATATGCACAATCTGTTATCTCAGATTATTATTGTACAATCAAAACTGTTTTCCTAAAATGTTTTCCCATTTTTTGATGGCCTTGACCTTACCAAGATAAATCAAAAATATATTCAATAAGAAATGAAATGAATGAAATAACAACTATAAATTTTAACTGAAAAAAAAATCAAAAATGCATTTTTGTAGATTAATTGGAATATTAAATACTATGTATATTATTATTGTTATGATGTTAAATGCTATATTCAAAAGAAATGTCTCATTGATATCAAGTATGCTACATTAAAAAAAAAAATTAGAAAAAAATTGAAAATGCGAGTATCGCTATTTAGAATAAATGTGGATAGTGTCCACATGTGGACACAGATGATGCCCCCGCTTGCATATCATATAGTTATGAAGGGACATAACTGAAGAACGGTAAAAGTGACACTAACCAAATTTGAACTTGATCAGAGTTTTTCGGTAATAAGCATCGTGTGTAAGTCTCATAACATTTGGTTGAGACTAACTTAAGTAGAGAACAGAAACTAAAAATTCAGCAATTTTTCTATTTGTAAATCCGCATAACTCTAGAACGGTTGTGTATAAGTTTTATAACATTTGGTTGAGACAAACTTAAGTTAGAGAACGGAAAAGAAAAATTCAGCAATTTTTATGTTTATAAAGGGACATAACTCAAGAATGGTAAAAGTGTCGCCACCAAATTTCGTACTTAATCTGTATTATGACGTAATAAGCATTGTGTATAAGTTTCATAACATTTCATGTATTTGGTTGAGGCAAACTAAAGTTAGAAAACGGAAACAAAAAATTTGTACTTGATCTTAGTTTTGTGGTAATGAATATGGTGTATAGGTTTCATGATGTTTGGTTGGGCAAACTTAAGTTACAGAATGGAAACTAAAAATTTTGCAATCCTATGATTTATAAAGGGGCATAACTCAATAATGGTTAAAGTGACACTACCCAAATTCAAACTTGATCTGTGTTTTATCAGTGGAAGTCAAAATTAAACATTGCATTATATAATGCATTGATTATAGTTGATTCAACTATAATCATAGACAAAGGAAGATAACTCCAATTTTACAAAATGACTTGATATTTAGAAGAAAATACAAATTTTGCAATTTTTACATTTATAAAGGGCATAACTTTAGAACGGTTAAAGTGATGCAACCAAAATTCAAACTTGATCTGTGTTTTGAGGTAATAAGCATTGTGTATAAGTTTCATAACATTTGGTTTAGGCAAACTTAAGTTAGAGAACGGAAACCAATTTTGGGATGTACGTACAGACAGACAAGGGTAAAACTTAATGCCCCCTCCGCTACGGCGGGGGCATATTAAAATCATTAAGAAGAAATAATTATCATAAAAAAAATAAGAAGAAATCACCAACACATAGTTTAAAAATAAACAGACTTAGGCCAACATCATAGCTAGAGATATGATGAGTGATTTGTCATACACCAAAAGCTTTAAGGTTTATTCTAGATGTCTTTTTTTTTTAAAGTTGTTGGTTTGCTGTACAATCTACTTTTGTCCACCTTCACCTATTATTCATTATTTGATACTGAATAGTGTGCATGCCTGCAATAAATTTGACACAGAAGCAATTCTATAAACAGTAACCTTATTTTTTGTACATAAGTATGTAATACAAAAATTGTATAATTCCAATGCCCATACATTTTTGTACAAATTTGGAAAAAATCAATCAGGGGAGAGACATTTTGTGCTTTTGTTGAAATTTTTCAAAAAATTCACACTGAAAATAATTCTCTAAAATTCTGTGTAATAGTTTGCCAACACATCTGTTAATATGCCAATGTTCCTCCAACTGACTATATATAACAACACTTGTATATATAAAAAAAATTGAGGTCAGATTTGCTTTAATATTTATCACAAAAAAAACAACCAATGAAAATATACAAAAATTAATTAATAAAGTATAGCATTCTTAACAGACATATGCCTGGTACAATGGAAATATTCAATACAGAAACTATTATATTAGAACAACAATATAAAAAATACTTTATGATTTTGCGGTAAAACATTTCAATACCGGTACATTAAAGATATAATTAAAATTCTACTCTAATTCAATACTACAGATTTTTGTTTTCAGTTATAAGCTATAAAACAAATTGGACAACACCTAATAAAACAAAGAATTGAAAGTGTTATGTATTGTATTATATTCATAAAATTAAGAATGGAAATGGGGAATGTGTCAAAGAGACAACAACCCGACCAAAGAGCAGAAAACAGCCCAAGGCCACCAATGGGTCTTCAACACAGCGAGAAAATCCTGCACCGAGGCTTTTCTAAAACAAAAGACAAGCTACAATTTATTATCAAATTGATAATGTTTTGTTGAACTCTTTTTTTAAATGAAGAAACTTATGTAGGTATTTTTTAAGCCACCAACAGGCAAACAACTGGTCTACCAATCACCCAAATAACATTAAGTGTCAACCAAATATTAGCATATTGTCAATAATAGATCTATACCAGTTTTAACAGTCTCAAAATAAAAAAATCACTGCAACAGTCACTCTAAAAAGCTAATTTAACAACTATTTTTAAAACATTAATAATGTTCACAATTTCATACAATAACCTTGTATAATAACAGTAAAACAATATTTTTTTATTCAAAAATGACAATTTACAATGCAAAACAACATTAAAGAATTGATTTTCATCCTGCATAGATGCAAAGCTGTCATTTTATTTTTTAAAAGCATTACCATACCACACCTGAATACATTTATATTCCGAATAAATGGTTTACTTAAAAGATAATGTGACTTTATGTACATTGTAATTAGTAAAACAAATACTCATCAATTGCAATATTTGGAATGTTTTTAAGTTGTGTACCATGACTTGACTTGTTCTTATTTTATATATTGGTTATCTATTGTAATGTTTACAAAGACATTTATACGTATATATCATATCAACAATAGTTGTGTCTTATTTTATATATCCGCTATCTATTGTAATGTTTACAAAGACATTTATACGTATATATCATATCAACAATAGTTGTGTCTTATTTTATATATCCGCTATCTATTGTAATGTTTACAAAGACATTTATACGTATATATCATATCAACAATAGTTGTGTCTTATTTTATATATCGGTTATCTATTGTAATGTTTACAAAGACATTTATACGTATATATCATATCAACAATAGTTGTGTCTTATTTTATATATCGGTTATCTATTGTAATGTTTACAAAGACATTTATACGTATATATCATATCAACAATAGTTGTGTCTTATTTTATATATCCGCTATCTATTGTAATGTTTACAAAGACATTTATACGTATATATCATATCAACAATAGTTGTGTCTTATTTTATATATCGGTTATCTATTGTAATGTTTACAAAGACATTTATACGTATATATCATATCAACAATAGTTGTGTCTTATTTTATATATCGGTTATCTATTGTAATGTTTACAAAGACATTTATACGTATATATCATATCAACAATAGTTGTGTCTTATTTTGTCATGGTTGTTTTATATTTAAAGTAATCAACTAACTTTTTTGGAAATGTCTGGCTATTTTAATTGCATGTACATGTATATCATACATGCTATCTGCACAAATTTGTTTAAGACAATTTAATAACATTTGTTCAGGACAATGTTATACTTTATAATGCTCTTTTTTCCATTCTGTTTTTCCATTGCAGTATTATATATATTTTTCCATTGCAGTATAATATGTTTTTCCATTGCAGTATTATATATTTTTCCATTGCAGTATTATATGTTTTTCCATTGCAGTATAATATGTTTTTCCATTGCAGTATTATATGTTTTTCCATTGTAGTATTATATGTTTTTCCATTGTAGTATTATATGTTTTTCCATTGTAGTATTATATGTTTTTCCATTGTAGTATTATATGTAGCAAGTGGAATTAGGATGAAAACATATAACTATATAAATAGATATTTAAATATGTAAGGTTCCATCATTTTAAAAATTACCAGTAAAATAAATAGCTAGTCACTTGACCTATGTTCCAACATGAGCTTATTTAGCCATGGGTTACTCACAATGCTCTTAAGAGGGACAGATAAGAATTCACTAATTTACTGACCCTTGTCTTAAATAACACATATCTGGTCAATAATTCACACAAAAAGTTATTATATTTAAATATAAATGAGTCAAACAATCAGAAATATATAATAAATTCATGATCAACAACAATTATAACAATAAAAATTATTTTGATTTTATAAATTGAAAAAATCTTTATCACAATAAGGAACTAGAAAAGTGTTCACAACTGTATTACCCCTGATCATGGTATCCCTCCCTTCTTTGATATCACAAAGGCCAAACTAATAATCGCTCATGCAATGAGATGGGAACATCCCTCCCCCTTCTCCTCCCTGGGCAAATAAAAAGTTGTTCAGATCTATAATTAAGAAAAACTCAATAGCACCATTGATGCTTCAGCCAAGTTGCCATCTGTATGGATTTGAAGAAGAAGAAGAAGAAAGTTTAATTCTATTTTTGGTGTTTAATTCAGCTAACAATTTTTGTCAATTGATTAATTGCTGACAGTAGGGGTTCAAGATATGCAATACCCAGAGACAACAATTTCCCTGATTTTTTTGGAAACACAAGTTTTAATAAAAAAATTGTCTATCAACTGCTGCTATGATGTTGACCTTCAACCTATCAGCTCAAATTCATTTGCTGTCTCCCCACCTGAAAAAGCATTTTTCATGAAATTTGATGAAGATCTAATTTATGGCTCAAAAGATATTGTCTAAAAATAAAAGTTTCCAAAATTTTAGTGTATTCAAGGACACTTTTACCATGACCTTTGATCTACTGATCCCCCAACTCACATGGAGTCTTGTTCTTTCCAAGGGCAGTTTCAAGCCAACTTTGAATGTGGTTTAATATATAAATGTTTCAAAAGATATCATCATAGCTGATGTGACCTTAACTTTTAATGTTTATGGCTCAAAAAAATTTGCCTAGAATCTGAAATCTTAACTCCATTAACACTGCCACAGCATTCATCAAATCATAAGTGGAGTCTGACTATGTAGCAACTCAGCTAATACATAAGCACAAATTTATCAGGTACATGTATTGATAATTTTGGAAAGTGTCAGTGAAATGTAGCAAAGGGTTTAAAAGCAACTGGTAATAAAGTTTGTGTGACTGATGGACAATTGACTGTATGAATGAATGGATACAATGATCTCTATAAACCCTTCTTTCCATTAAGTAAGGTGTATAAAAAATATTACCGACATCAATTCTAATGTCACAATCAATCAATTAATTTAAATATCATGACATTTTCTCAATTTATTTAAGTACGATATCTTCTTTATCATGTTTATTCAGCTATCTTTTTTTTGTTTTACCTATTGTCTAGTATACAAGTTTTACAAAAGTTATAGTGTATAATTTTGAACAGACAACAAATGGCAAAAAATCCCATGGTCTGAATGAATAGCCCTTTTCATAAACTCTTTTAATAATGTTTATAACCCAAATATTTGAAGCAAGTTATTTTACATGACTGAAAATATTACTAGTTTGCAGCAATATTAAGGAGTCCAGGATTTACTGCAGTTTTGAATACATAATAGTTATATGAGCCATAGAAATTTCAGAACTACCAGTAATTTTGATCTTTTCGCCTTCACCATACTTAAAATCAAACCAGATCATGAAGCTGCATTTTTTTGGTAAATTGAAGTAAATAAATAGCTTGCTTTTACCTGCACCTTGCAGCACACCAGTCCTACTAGTATTCCCAACAATGAAAATTACTAGCTTAAGCATCAAATTGTAATGTTTAACATCTTTATACTGAATTGAAAATTCAATACAAATAATACCCTTTTATGGTTTAACTGACAACCCTATGAAAGAAATTTACAGATATTTTTTTTTATTAAAACAGCAATTACACCTCTAAAAAGCCAGTATCTTATTGTTAATGGTAGATTTTTCTCCTTTATTACCTGTAGTAAATTGTACAAAATCACTCTGTAAAAGATTTTCAAACTGCCTAAGTGAACAACTTCTGAACAACAAAACTTCAATCTGGAAAACTACAACCTGTTTTTACAGATAATTCTAATCTAAAATATCTTTATAATCAATAACAATTTTTTCAGTGCATTTGTCAAGGGAGACTCAAATAAGAACCTTAATTTTATCATGATATTAAAGAAATAGAAGTAAGTCACATGTTTTTTGTTTACTGTTTTCCTGGTGCTCCGTATGCGTATGGATTGTCTGTGTATGGCGGTGGGACTGCTTCTCCAGAGGGATATGGTTGTGGTGGATAGCCCGGCTGTGCTGGATATCCTGGCTGTGCTGGATATCCCGGCTGTGCTGGATATCCCGGCTGTGCTGGATATCCTGGTTGTGTTTGATATCCTGCCGGTGGTGGATAGCCTGGTTGCTGGGGTTGTGGATATCCAGGTTGTTGTCCAGGATATTGGTTTGGAACTGGTTGTGCAGCCATTGGTATGGTATCATGCTGTTGCTGGAAAATTATAAAATGAGAATTAATACTATTTCATTTATTAGTATCCATGGAATGAAGGCTTTAAACAAAATGATAATACAGACATGTTATTGCTAGATCCAGGAATTATAATAACAATGATAAAATAGGAATGTCGAACACAAGTAACAGATACGTGTACATATCAAACCTTTGGCTTGAATTCTGCTGCAGTGTTTTACTTCTAGAAATTCATACCAATCATGTTGATGAAGATAAAATCATGCTAAAATTTACACTTCCTTCAGTTATTTCCACATATAGATTTAGTATACATGTAATAATGTTTAACTAAAGTTGTTCTCAATTTTCTTATGTTTTTTAATGTTTATTGTTTAATGTAACTGTAACTTCAAAGGTAAAGGTATAAATTCACATACATATTATGTTGGTCCTCCTTTTTTTCATACCTTGCATAGACTTCAAGGATAAAGGGTACAATTTGTTACTATTCACAGAGCTCCAGATAAGCTGTGTATTTGTGTGATTACGCAATAGAAACGATCAATAAAATGCTCCGCACGGCGCAGCTTGATACGACCACAGAGGTCAAACCCTGAACAGTTGGGGCAAGTATGGACACAACATTCAAGCTTGATACAGCTCTGAATTTGGATTGTGATTAAATATTTGACACAGCATAGGTTTCTGACACAGAATGAATGTGGTCTAAGAACTTAAAAATTTTAAATTGGACATTCACCTATTATGGTCCAATATCCAAAATCTAAATACATGGTTAGATTCAGCATATCAAAGAACCCCAAGAATTCAATTTTTGATGAAATCAAACAAAGTTTAATTTTGGACCCTTTTGACCTCAATGTGGACAAAGTTGATAATGGGGCCCAAAAATCAAAAATCTAAATACATGGTTAGATTCAGCATATCAAAGAACCCCATATATTCAATTTTTGTTGAAATCAAACAAAGTTTAATTTTGGACCCCTATTTGGACCAACTTGAAAACTGGGCCCATAATAAACAAGAAATGATTGTAACAGGATGCTGTTACGAAGTCTCCCAAACGAAGCTCCCATAATTCGTAATTCCCAGGGTCGCCTGACATTGGGCAACGTCCAGTGAAAATTGGTTTGGTCCAGTAAAGTTATATGCATTAGTGATGCCTGGGGACTAACCTTGTATATCATTCAAATCTTCTTGGCATGACAAACCAGAATATATATGGTTTAGGGGTGGGGATCTCGACCATTTACAAGATACTAGAACATTGGGGGTGGGGAGGAACCCCTGGGGACTGGCCCTATATGCCATTCAAATGTTCATTACATGACGAACAGGAATAAATATGGTTTAGGTGTGGGGATCTCAACCATTTACAAGATATTAGAACATTGGGGTGGGGGGAACCCCTGGGGACTGACCCTATACGTCATTCAAATGTTCGAGACATGACAAATAGGAATATATATGGTTTAGGGGTGGGGATCTCAACCATTTACAAGATATTAGAACTTTCTCAAATGGCAGGGGGTCGGGATGACCCCTGGGGACTAACCCTGTATATCATTCAAACCATCTTCACATGACAAACCAGAATATATATGGTTTAGGGGTGGGGATCTTGACCACTTACAAGATATTAAAACTTTCTTAAATGGCAGGGGGTGGGGTGACCCCTGGGGACTAACCCTGTATTTCATTTGATGTGCTTTATCATGACAAACCAGAATATATATATGGTTTAGGGGTGGGGATCTCGACCATTTACAAGATATTAGAACTTTCTCAAATGGCAGGGGGTTGGGATGACCCCTGGGGACTTACCCTGTATATCATTCAAACCATCTTAGCATGACAAACCAGAATATATATGGTTTAGGGGTGGGGATCTTGACCACTTACAAGATATTAAAACTTTCTTAAATGGCAGGGGGTGGGGGTGACCCCTGGGGACTAACCCTGTATTTCATTTGATGTGCTTTATCATGACAAACCAGAATATATATGGTTTAGGGGTGGGGATCTCGACCATTTACAAGATATTAGAAACTTTCTCAAATGGCAGGGGGTCGGGATGACCCCTGGGGACTAACCCTGTATATCATTCAAACCATCTTAGCATGACAAACCAGAATATATATGGTTTAGGGGTGGGGATCTTGACCACTTAGAAGATATTAGAACTTTCTTAAATGGCAGGGGGTGGGGGTGACCCCTGGGGACTAACCCTGTATAAAATTTGATGTGCTTTATCATGACAAACCAGAATATATATGGTTTAGGGGTGGGGATCTCGACCATTTACAAGATATTAGAACTTTCTCAAATGGCAGGGGGTCGGGATGAACCCTGGGGACTAACCCTGTATATCATTCAAACCATCTTAGCATGACAAACCAGAATATATATGGTTTAGGGGTGGGGATCTTGACCACTTACAAGATATTAGAACTTTCTTAAATGGCAGGGGGTGGGGGTGACCCCTGGGGACTAACCCTGTATTTCATTTGATGTGCTTTATCATGATAAACCAGAATATATATGGTTTAGGGGTGGGGATCTCAACCATTTACAAGATATTAGAACTTTCTCAAATGGTAGGGGGTCGGGATGACCCCTGGGGACTAACCCTGTATATCATTCAAACCATCTTAGCATGACAAACCAGAATATATATGGTTTAGGGGTGGGGATCTTGACCACTTAGAAGATATTAGAACTTTCTTAAATGGCAGGGGGTGGGGGTGACCCCTGGGGACTAACCCTGTATTACATTTGATGTGCTTTATCATGACAAACCAGAATATATATGGTTTAGGGGTGGGGATCTCGACCATTTACAAGATATAAGAACTTTCTCAAATGGCAGGGGGTCGGGATGACCCCTGGGGACTAACCCTGTATATCATTCAAACCATCTTAGCATGACAAACCAGAATATATATGGTTTAGGGGTGGGGATCTTTACCACTTACAAGGTATTAGAACTTTCTTAAATGGCAGGGGGTGGGGGTGACCCCTGGGGACTAACCCTGTATTTCATTTAATGGGCTTTATCATTTAGAACATTTTCAATTAAAATGATTGTGTCTATCACAAACGGTTTTCAATTTATAATCATTTGAAAATTTAAAAAAATAAAATCCCATAGGGTTCTATAGTAAAACCCTCTTTTCTTTTTGCCCCTCAAAGTACCCCTTTATAAACCCCATTGCACAAACAAAACCCTGATTGCACCACTAGACATGTTAGTCTAACATATTGTGAAACCCTAAGTTAATCTGACAAGCGGTTTTGGAGAACGGGTGTGGACAAGTTCAAATTTAAAAGTGGCGGAAGAAGAAGAAGAAGAAGAAGAAGAAGAAGAAGAAGAAGAAGAAGAATAATAATAATAAGAACTGAGCAAAAACAATAAGTCTTCCCAAACTTCGTTTGGGAGACTTAAAAATCTAAATACATGTTTAGATTCAGCATATCAAAGAACCCTAAGAATTCAATTTTTGTTAAAATCAAACTAAGTTTAATTTTGGACTCTTTGGACCATAATGTAGACCAATTTGAAAACAGAACCAAAAATTAAGAATCTAAATACACGGTTAGATTCGGCATATCAAAGAACCCCAATAATTCAATTTTTGATGAAATCAAAGTTTAATTTTGGACCCTTTGGACCTCAATGTGGACCAATTTAAAAACGGGGCCCAAAATCCAAAAACTTAATACACGGTTAGAATCAGCATATTAAAGAACCCCAAGAATTCAAAATTAAAACCCCATTGAAATTGGTCAAGAAATAAGCAATTTATACTGTGCAATTGAATATTTCTTGCTATTGCGCAATACTGTACAATTGACAATTTCTTGCTATTGCGCAATATTGTGCTATTGGATATTTCTTGCTATTGCACAATACTGTGCAATTGAAGATTTCTTGCTATTGCGCAATACTGTGCAATTGAAGATTTCTTGCTATTGTGCAATACTGTGCAATTGAAAATTTCTTGCTATTGCACAATACTTCTTATATAATAATTTACACATCCTGTTTGGTGTGTATCTCCTACCATATCATTATTATTTGCTTTTAAATATAAAACAGAAATAACCAACTTAAAATGGAAAATTTTAAAAGAAAAAAAAAAGGAAAAAAAGAAAAAAAAGGAAAAAAAAAAAAATCCCCCCCCCAAATTTTATGAACCCCCTTATGATTCATCACCCCCAAACTCAATCCAAGCCTTCCCTTTGTGGTATGGTACCTTGCAGTACAATTTCAGAGAGATCCATACACTTGAACACAAGTTATTGTCTGGAAACTAGAAAAATGCTTATTTTTGACCCCTTTTTCGCCCCTTATTCCTAAACGTTTAAGGCAATTACCCCCAAACTCAATTCCAGCTTTCCCTTTGTGATATGGAACCTTGTAGTACAATTTTAGAAAGATCCATACATTTACACACAAGTTATTATCATGAAACTAGAAAAATGCTTGTTTTTTGCCCCTTTTTTGGCCCCTAATTCCTAATATTTTGAGGCAATTACCCCCAAAATCAATCCCAGCATTCCCTGTGTGATATGGAACCTTGTGGTACAATTTCAGAGAGATCCATACACTTGAACACAAGTAATTGTCTGGAAACTAGAAAAATGCTTATTTTTGGCCCCTTTTTGGACCCTTATTCCTAAATGTTTTGGACAATTACCCCCATACTCAATTCCAGCTTTCCCTTTGTGATATGGAACCTTGTAGTACAATTTCAGAAAGATCCATACACTTACACACAAGTTATTGTCATGAAACTAGAAAAATGCTTGTTTTTTGCCCCTTTTTTGGCCCCTAATTCCTAATATTTTGAGGCAATTACCCCCAAAATCAATCCCAGCATTCCCTATGTGATATGGAACCTTGTGAAACAATGTCAGAGAGATCCATACACTAACACACAAGTTATGTCTGGAAGTTACAAAAATGCTTATTTTTGGCCCCTTTTTGGCCCCTTATTCCTTAACTGTTGTTACCATAACCCCCAAAAACAATCCCAACCTTCCTTTTGTGGTATTGAACCTTATGGTAAAATTTCATAGAGATCCATTCACTTAAACTAAAGTTAGAGTGAGAAAACCAATGTGTCTTCGGACGATGCCGGACAACGACGACGACGACGCCAACGTCATACCAATATACGACCGTAAAAATTTTTTGCAGTCGTATAAAAACCTAATGCATTTGTCAATGTAAGCGTTGAAAAACCCAAATTCATGCAAAGGAGAACTCAATCACATGTCAAAACTGTGTGTTCTCGACCCTTCTAGCTGCGGTCGAGGGCGTAATTTATCCTAACCGTTAAACTGTTGTCGCGTAATTTATCTTTTTTGTAATTTTGGGAAAACATGCTGAGAGCATGATGTCAAATTTTGGGAAAACATGCTGAGAGCATGATGTCAATCTGAATTATACAACACCTTCAGTACCCTTCCTCTAGATTGTCCTTGGCTTCTACGGTAAAAGTAAAACACTGCAAACACAATGACTCCAATCACCACCACAGCTGCAATAGCCCCTAGAATTTTGGCAAGAGCTGAAGCTGAAATCTCTCTGTTCTCATCACTGTTGTCACCACACTGATTGTAGCCATCATACTGAAGGGATTTGGATATACACTGTCCTAGTCTACATTTAAAGTCATTAGTCCCATTGCAAACACCTAAATAAAAATTAAAAAAGGAGAAATTCTCAACTGAATCTTTGATAAGGATTAGTCACTAAATTAAAAAATATACTTTTCTTTTTGATATATGAAAATCATGTATGACTAATTGAAAAAAAGTAATATGAAATTACATGCTTTACACACACACACACACACACACTATTTCCATACATGCCAACTTACAAAATTCAGGGCCGTTACACAATTTTTACCTCTTGTCCCAATTGCAAGATTATGATTATGAAAAAAGACCTAATACACAATTTGACAAAATCTACAGGAAAAATATGTTGGTTTCCAATTTTGAACCTTTTCCCAAGAGAGACAATCGTGATCATGGAGATTTAACCAATGAAAATCAGTCTTTCCTGTGATCACTATTTCATCTCCTGATTAATGGAGGTATTGTTAACAAGCAAAGATTTACAGCTTATTTGGATCTTAGAGTTCTATTCCTCTGCCTGTATGTCATTGTGATCATGATGGACTAATTATAACATGCAAGGTTTTTATACCGTCAAGAAAAAAACCATGGTTCAATTCAGAGGCTGGTAGAAAAAATCAATGATATCACAAGCCTTATGCAAAATTTGCAATAGAGAAAGCACAGTTGACCATGGTGGCATGAATGACGTTTCAAAGCATGCAAAGACCGCTCAACTTCTTCATATAAGGAAGTCCTTCACAGCTCAAAACAAGCACTAATATTCTGTCAGCAACTTTTGTATGAACAGACTGACTTAACTGATGATGACACATCTGATTTGCAACTCAAGATGGTCAAGCAAGCATGTTACAATTGATACAAAAGAACAATTTTTTTGAAAAATTGTTAGTTGCATTTTGTTCTCTTTGAGATGTTTTTGATGAACTGGATCCTAAACTTTGAAATGTATGTTTATAACATTCATTTTAGTAAGATTCCCAGTCCAATGAAAGAGTATGCTTTGAGTGATGTTTGAATCTGATCTATTTGAGAGATTTTTGTATAAATGTTGGAAAGGGAGATTTAGTCGATTTTTATGAATGACTTTGACCTTTTGTCATGCAGTTAAGAATTGACAGTGATATATCCAATTTGACATTATTCAAAGTACAATAGTACTTGTACATAATGATTTTCATGATTTTAGTATTGGTATAAGATTGATTATTTATAATTGTAAATTTTAGATGAAAGATAAAGATTAGAAATAGTTTAAATATGAATTGTATAATGTCTTTAGGAATATCAAAGTCAGATTTATAGATAATTGATGGTTTTTCAAACAGTAGGGTGTTTCTCAGCTATAATCTCATCGAAGGGTGACAGCCCTGAAATGACATGTATCTGAGAGACATCCTCGAGTTTGAAAGACCATTGATAATCTGTTTATTGCTATTTTGCCTATGACGTTGTTAATGTTTACATTGACAACGGCACGTGTGCCCTTAGTTTCCAGCTATAATTTTCTATCTCAAGCGAGTAGCATGATATGAAAAATTATCACAAAAAAAAAATCAAAGGAAAAATACAAAAATAGCGATAATACTTATTATTGTCATATATTGTTTACAGAACTATAATACTTATTATTGTCATATATTGTTTACAGAACTAATACTTATTATTGTCATATATTGTTAACAGAACTTATACTTATTATTGTCATATATTGTTTACAGAACTAATACTTATTATTGTCATATACTGTTTACAGAACTAATACTTATTATTGTCATATATTGTTTACAGAACTAATACTTATTATTGTCATATATTGTTTACAGAACTAATACTTATTATTGTCATATATTGTTTACAGAACTAATACTTATTATTGTCATATATTGTTTACAGAACTAATACTTATTATTGTCATATATTGTTTACAGAACCATATTTTATGTGAACCTCTGTTACCATTACTGTAGAAGTATGAAGATCCCTACTATGAATATATTATGTAGACTGTTGATATTAAGTATTAAACTCAGTTCCACAGACCTATGAGTTTATGTATACTTAAAATACATAATATATATATATTGTTCATGTAAGACAGTGAAGACCATCTGATACTATGTAGAGTTATCTACCCTTGATACATATGTTATGGTTATTTATAAAATATGGATTTACTCATCTATTTGGTTAACTCAAATAGTGTTATAGGATTTTGACATTATAGTTATATGTTTAATTGTTAAAGCTGATGAGTTGATATGAATGTTGAATGAATAATTGAAAGCCTTTATTATTAATTGCCATGTCACTTTGTGTAATGATATTATGGAATAATACAAATACTCATGTTTCCTCTATCTTAGTCATTCTTCAGTAATGTTATATTATCGGTAACACAGTATCATATAGTACAAATAGATTAATGGGTTTTAAATGCATGAAATGTATCTTGATTATTTTGTGGGGATTATAATTATATGATTACACCATTGTTGAAAAAAGAACCATAGATACAGATGAAAAGGACATGTTATTTGATTGTCCATTTCTTCATTTCTTGACTGTAACGGTAATAAAATTGTGAAAGCTAAAAAAATAAATTGTACAGAAATTTACCTAGTGACAAGTTAATGCCTTTGTTTATGACCCAAGCTAATGAACGGTCATAACAGGTGTCATAATTGGTTTTTTACAGGTAATCCGCTTATCGGATGGGTCATTAATAATGATCGAATTTATTTAATACAAATAGCATCTGTCAGTAAGCATTTGTCATTTCAACATATGACCACAGAAATTGCAAAGTTTACCATAGTTTCATGAAGAAAACGCAATTGACAGAAAGATGAAAACTGTAATGAACCTATTAAAAAACACAGTTTTACTTGAATTCTGTTAAAAATGTTTAATTCAGACGGATTTCATCTTTGCCTGCCCTCACTTTCAATAATAATAAACTGTTATCACAGAGATATGTCTCGCCTATTTGTAATTTTGATAATGCAAATGTTGAAATTAAAATAGCAATACTTTAAAATGTAAGTTATGCAAATATTCAAAGTCAATGAACCATGACTGAAGGTACATGGCTGAACAATCTCCATGGAAATGAGATGTGCCAATGTTAATACAACAGCATACCAAATACCATTGACTTATCATAAGTCGTTCCCTTTAAACAAACCTAAACACAAACATTAACATGTAAACTATGTAAAAGTTTCAAAGTCAATGAACCATAATTAGGGGGTGGGGTTATTTAATCTCCATGGAAATAAAACTTGCAAATGCCAATACATTTGCATACCGAATATCATTGACTTAACCTTAGTGGTTCATCTTAAACTGAACTTATCACAAACTAATACATGTAAACTAAGCAAAAGTTTCAAAGTCAATAGACCATGACTAAGGGGGCAGAGCTAAATAATCTCCATTGAAATGAGATATGCCAATGCTTATACAACTGCATACCAAATATCACTGACCTACCACTAGTGGTTCCCCATAAACTGACCTAATCACAAACTAATACATGTAAACTAAGCAAAAGTTTCAAAGTCAATAGACCATGACTGAGGGGGCAGGGCCAAATAATCTCCATGGAAATGTGATGTGCCAATGCTTATACAACTGCATACAAAATATCATTGACCTACCACTTGTGGTTCACAATAAACTAGACCTAATCACAAACTATTACATTGTTGATGCCGCCACCGACACCGGAAACAGCATAATTATGTCTTGCTTTTTGACTCTGTCAAGGTTGAGACAAAAAACATAATGGCGGCCATTTATTGTATTCACTTCTACTGTGTATTATCCTCCTTAGAGAAAGGACACACAAAAGTGATTTAAAGCCCTCAAAATCCTAGCTTAAACCATAGTGTCAGTGAAACTGTTTTTTATGTTCTTTCAGAGAAAGGAAGAAAAATAAATGGGGAATGTGTCCATGGGACACAGATGATGCCCCCGCTTGCATATCATATAAAGTTATAAAGGGACATAACTGAAGAACAGTAAAAGTGACGCTACCCAAATTTGTACTTGATCTGAGTTTTGTGGTAATAAGTCAATGTAAGTATTGTGTATAAGTTTCATAACATTTGGTTGAGGCAAAATTAAGTTAGAGAACGGAAACGAAAAATTCAGCAATTTTTCCATTTGTAAATGGGCATAACTCTAGAACAGTAAAAGTGACACCACCAACATTCAAACTCGATCTGTATTTTGTGGTAATAAGCATTGTGTATAAGTTTCATAACATTTGGTTGAAGCTAACTGGCGGTAGAGAATAGAAACGAAAAATTCAGCAATTTTTCCATTTGTAAAGGGGCATAACTCTATAACGGTTAAAGTGACACAACCAAAATTCACACTTGATCCGTATTTTGTGGTAATAAGCTTTGTGCATAAGTTTAATAACATTTGGTAGAGGCAAACTTAAGTTAGAGAACCGAAATAAAAAATTCAGCAATTTTTCCATTTATGAAGGGTATAACTCTAGAACGGTTAAAGTGATGCCACCAAAATTCAAACTTGATCTGTGTTTTGTGGTAATCAGTATTGTGTATAAGTTTCATATCATTTGGTTGAGGCAAACTAAAGTTAGAGATCGGAAACAAAAAAATCAGCAATTTTTTCCATTTTTAAAGGGCATAACTCTAGAACAGTTACAGCAGTCAGAGCTCTGACATAAACAAGTCAGAATAAAATGACTTCCATAGGTCAGATATAATTTGATGTAAGTGTTGTCTCCCTTCTTGCACTCAACAGAATATGACTTGTACAGGTCAGTTTATGTCAGACTTTAATTTATCATAAAATGACTTCCACAGGTCAGATTTTGCACAAAATATTGTGACTTAATATCTTCATATTCTAATAAGATTTATGCCCCTTTTTAATGCATTTTGACTTCGAGAGGTCATTTTTGTTCTGATTTGAAGCAGTCATTACTACCACTTTGTTATCAATCTCCATAAAAATATGGTGACTACTAGTTTCGATTTAAAGAGTTTTAAAAAGTGGGGCTCATCTAACA